CCCTTTTTTTTTTTTTTTTTTTTCAAAAACTCAATTTTTTTAAAATTTATTTACAACCATACATTTTCTCATAAAATAATTTTACCTTTAAATAGAAATTTTCTCTTTATCTTTTAACCATATATTCTTTAAAAAATAAATATTTCAAAACGCATTTTCCTATAAAAATGAGGCTCAAATAGGCGCTCAGATTATTTCAGTAAATTCCCCTCCTGAAATTATGTCATCTCGATCCTGCCCACCCCTTTCATCTCCCATGCATTCTCAAATTAGTCCAACTCATGTTAAAGATGTGGTTTTGTTGGAATTTTGTATTGAAAATTGATTGTGACCAATTTTACATGATTATTTAAGTGAAATTCTTAATTTGGTGAATGAGAAATTAAACTAATGTAAGCCGCTTTATACTTGAAATTTTTGAAAATTTGTATAGAATATTGAGAAATATTCTAGAAAGAGATGGATGAAAAGTTGTGTCTTTTCATAGGAATCCAATAATTATGAATTCCAAGACATGTCTCTTGGTGTGGGTGTATCTTTTGACATACCTATCCAACTATTATATATTGGCCAAATATGTTTGGATTTTATAATTTAAAAAGAATTCAAGAAATTCAATTCATAATTTCATATCATTCCATTCCATGCTTAGATGGTTTTGCATAAAACTCTTGCATCAAAGTCACGGTTATGGTAGAGAAGAAACTCCATTGCAGTTATTTGGTCTAAGCCATTTGGAGTGTTTATATGGCTCGATGTAGTAGTTGTTTTCTCGGGAGATGATTGTCAGAAAATTGTTAGCACCGATGCAGGGTAAATTCATCTTAAGGACAAAGTGTCCAACACTTACCTCGGTCAATCGCGTCACTTGCATCTCTCCTTGATTCTTTATGATTTGTTCTTTCGTATTTGATTTCAAAAAATTAATAACATTATTTTGATTTCATATAGGTTTGAAATAAAGAATAGAAATGATTGAATTTGTCGTTTCATCTTCCCAAATCGATTTCGATAAGACGAAACTGCGTTTCGATTTCGTAAACATAGATTGTATGTTTTGTGAATATAATATGCACAATATCAGTGTAATTTTTCAACAAGCTTAACCTTGCACAGTTTGACCCTATAAAATCTTAAAAAGACTCCAAATGAATAAAAAAAGATTAAACCCCGTTTGGTTCTAATTTTTTACCCTAAAAAGTCATTTTTTTATCGTTACTTCCCTAAATCAACCATTATTTTTGACTTCTTTACTCACAGGTGGTACTTACTTTTTTCTCTAACAGTCAAAAAATCAATTCTCATAATCACTACTGAACAGACCCTAACTTCTTGTTGGATTTTTGTTATTTTTAAAATATTTTTTTTTCATCTTTTTAATTATACAAATTCAAAATTTTTTCTTATTTTTAATAATACATTTTTCATCAATTTATTATTCTAAAATACATTCCTAAATTATAATGGGATTCAGACAGACACTAACGTACATTTGATTGTCAATATTTTTCATGAAAAATGTGTTTTTCCACTTAAATTTCTGCTTTTGTGCTGTTTGACTGACATATTTTTCCATGAAAATATTTTCCTCCTCAAAATCAAGAAAAATATTTTCTTTATGGGAGTAGAATTTTATTTTTAGAAATTCACTATCTATTTTTCTCTCTCATCTACCTAGTGATGGCAATGGGTCTAGCCGAGCCGGCTCGACTCTTTTACCCACGAGCTCGGCTCGGGCTCGTGGCTCGTGAAAGACGATCGAGCTTGTGAGACCACGACCTCGTGGGTAGAGCCGAGCCCGCTAGCCGCTCGCGAGCTCGTGATTTTTTTAATTCTTTTTTTTATGGTAAATTTGCACATTTTTTACTTTCTTTTTTTAATATATATAAATTTACATTTTTTTTACGTGCCCGAGCCGAGTGGCCTAGTCGACTAGCCGCTAGGCCCATTTAACATCCCTACATCTACCCACAAATAAAAATCGAATAAGTATAATCTTTTATAGGTTGAAAATTAAATCAATCAAACACATTTAATTGATAATTTTCATGCAAATAACTTCTAGGCAAGTGAATTATCTAAAATTTATTTATTTTTTCCTTTCAAATTCAATGCTTACAATTAAACGCATTCTATGAGTGTATGATTCTTATTTTTTTTATAATATATTTTTCTCTATTTTCTTTCAACTATATATTCTTCATTAAACTAATATTACGCCCAAGTCAAAAACTTTTACATCTGTCTAACCACATTTTCTTTTATCAATCTACTATTTCAATATACATTCTCAAAAAAAAAAAAAAAAAGTGGATCAAAACACACCCTAAATATTAATGGAGACGGAAGAAAAAAATAAATATTTCTATTTCTACTTGTACGGTACATTCGTTTTTTCTCCTAAGAGAAGTTGAAACTTGAAACGTTAACGTACTGGTACAAAAGGAGAAGGAACGAAAAGCTGATTTTTTGTTTCAATTGTTATAGTGCACTGGTGAATCTGGATCGGCTGACGACATGGTAACAATTTTTTTATAGTTCTTCGCTTTCAATCTATTCTTCTGATTGCTGATTTCTGTAGTATTTTCTCGTTTGAAACTATGTAATTGATTCCGGATTTTGGGGAAGATTTCTTAATTTTGTTTAACATCAATCTCGTTTCAAACTTTGGATCTATAAGCTTGTGATTATGTCGGATTAGCATGCTTGAGATCCTTTCTGGATCTACATATGCTTTGTTCATTCAATAAGAAATAAGATTAGGTTGAACATTTTTCTAGATAGTTTCCAAAGAATTCTAAGTACAAGATTTTGTGGTATTATGGAGATCAAGATAAGATCAATGTCGATTATGGAGATTAAGATAAGATCAACATGGAGTCGAATTGTGATTTTATACTCCAGTCACAGAATACCCCAATAGAACTTTAAGCGCTCTGAACCAATAGATGAAAAAGGAAAAATTAAAAAAATAAAAGGGCCTTGGGATAATCAGAAAGCTACCTTCCAATAATCGGTTAATGTAGTAAGGAGGTTCTGCCGGGTACTGTCATGTTGATGCTAGTGAAAGAATGCATCTAAAGTATACCTACATGATGTTTTTGTTTATTATGTTTGCTTTTGATTAGTGCATCATTTCCATTACATCTAAGAAATCCTGATATTATAGCTATTCTATTCAATTATTCCCTGTAGATGAAACCTAGATTAACACTACTAGAAGTACTCAAAATGCATCCTGCACTTGATAAAATAATTTAGTATCTCATTTGTAATCAGAAGCAAAATTTTCAGTTTCCATTCCCTTTTTATTACAGTTGAAGAGTGACTTAGCTTCTTGTCTTATTTCAGATCCACTTTGTTCTCCTTATTAGCCGGCAGGGAAAAGTGAGGCTAACAAAATGGTATTCACCTTATTCTCAAAAGGAAAGAACCAAGGTATTCACCTTATTCTTGTGAAATTTGAAATGATGTTGTATTTGTAGTGGATCATTCCTTTCACACTAGATCTAAAACGATGCAACGGGCTTCACTTTGCGCTATACTATTTTTTTTTTAGAAAATAAATTTTCTTAATTGATTTACATTTTTCAAGGACTCTAACAACACTGCATATTCTCTTGTACTTTCTAAAGGTTATTCGGGAGCTTAGTGGTATGATTCTCAGTCGTGGCCCTAAACTGTGTAATTTTGTGGAGTGGAGGGGATATAAAGTTGTCTATAAAAGGTGTTGTGTCATCTGTATTTAGTTCCAAGTTCATTTCTGTTACCATGATTTTTCAACAGCATATAATTTGTTTTCCTGATTCCCTCTTGATAATGGCGTACACAAGTAATCATTCTTTGCTTTTTCTGTACTAATGCAGATATGCCAGCCTTTATTTCTGCATGTGTATTGATCAAGATGACAATGAATTGGAGGTCCTCGAGATTATCCACCACTTTGTTGAAATACTAGACCGCTACTTTGGAAGTGTGAGTACTGAAACACTGTGAAGCATCATTAGCGTAGGGATAGGTTTAAATCATGTTCATATTCTAAACTGAATGTTCTTCTTTGTCCATTAGGTGTGTGAGCTGGATTTGATCTTTAATTTCCATAAGGTACAACTCTTTATCCTGGGTTGATTTTTATATTTTGAAGAGTCTTAATAGACTGTTGCCTGATTACTATTTACAAAAAACTTGTGTTCATACATTCGAGGTGTAAAATTATAGAGATTGCAAAGAAAGGAAAGTTGATGGAATTTTATGGGCTGGTTTATTTCTGAGCGTTTGTGTATTTGCATACTTGCCTCATGGAATGATTGATTTGCATTGTTGACTCTCATTATCCCTCTGTGTTAAAAATTTCAGTACCTAGATTCTTTGTTCAACGATATGAACTTGCAGCTTGCAAGGTCGGATTTCTTATAAAAAGCCTAGAAAAGGCAAGACAAACAAGCACACACCTTAGCTAACCTAAGGCATAAGAGTTAATAGAGGCACTCAAGGCATAAGCTTCAGGGCAATTAATGCAAGCCTCACTTGAGGTGCCCCTTATTGCATAAGCCTTAGACAACATTTTTTTTCTTACAATGATTTAGTGCTATCTTTGAGCTAAGATAGCAGTGGCATCTTTAATAAGACGTGCGAAATCCACTTCATTGTACAAATGTCAAATAATTTGCTTGCCATCTCTATGTGCTAGGTTGTGTGCATGTGCATCTCTTTGCATATGTCCTTATGGTATCTTTTGCTTGCCATAGGTAATGAACATCATTTTCATCTTTATCATTTTATAATGCTGTGCATAATGTTTAAATAGTTTAACTTGTCTTTTGCTTCCATAGTTCCATTCTGTTAATCAATAAAGCTGATGGGGGAGATGCATCTTGAGGCAAGATAAATTCTTTATTAGGTTGTGTATTTTAGTGAAAATATGATTTCTGTTCGATATTTATCTTTAAAAATTTAAAACTTATATTCTCATCATAAAAGAATTAGTTTATTCTTGTTGGAAAAATTGATGGCATATCACTTAGGATCCGTTTGATTGCAAAGATGGAATTTTGGTAGAAAGAAAATGAATTCCAAGGAATTGAATTGTCTAGAAATTATTTTATTGAAAATTGTCAATTAATAGTGCTTGATTGGTATAATTTTTCACGTGAAAAATGTTGAAATAAAAGTATGTTTTGGTATTCGTTTGGTTTTGTTTTTCATGGAAATTGTCAATTTAAGGGATATCCACTTCTACAATTATTCCTAGAATTTTTTTTCATTGCCACAAAAAAAAAAAAAAAAAAAAAAAAAAAAAAAGATCATCTATATTTTTGTGTTCGTTTGGTTTTGTTTTACATAAAAATAGTCAATTTAAGAGATATTCTCTTTTATAATTGTTCCTAAAATTTGTTCTCATTGCCAAAAGTAAAATAAAATAAAATAAAATAAAAATGTTGAAAACCAGTTCTCGCCGCTTTGGTGAGAATTGATTTACACCAAATCATGAAAAATGCAAGTGTATGGGGAAAAGATGGAAACAAATTCCATGGGAAAGTTTTGCTATCAAACACACAAAATTGGTGGAAAGTGGAATTCGAATTCCATTTTCCATGGAAGTTGTGCCAATCAAACATGGCCTTAGTTTATTCTAACATTAGATATATAGTTGGCCTTATGTTAGTGTCACTTAGTGGAGCTTATCTAGCATAAACTGCTCAGCAATCACTGAAACATTTTGGGATAAGCAGTGACAACAGATTTACGATAATTAGGAGAC